TTTTTCCCTGAAGCAAAACGTGCGTTTCATTTATACCCGATCGAGACCCAAAATACCCGACCGGGTATTTCGACCGGGTATCGCGACAGGCAGCAGTTTTAAGGGAAAAGAAGGCTGAAAATTAAGGGATTCGAGTTTTTGAGAGATAGAGCAATTCCTAGAGAGAGAGAGCGACGAACAAGAGTTCCCAAGTGCCATAGCTTGATCTTCATCACCATTGGAGCCCAGCTTGAGCTTGGAGAAGTGCCGATCAACGTCCAGGAGCAGAAATCCATTCTTCACAGTATGATTTCCGCGTCTGAATCTGTTTTTGCTTCTTTCTCCATGGAGTAGTTCTCCCATTCATCTGGGTATGGAGAACCCTAGATTTGTATGTTAGATCTGATTGTATGAACCCAAGTACAGATTTCATGAGTTGATTATATTCGATTGAGGCTTGAATGATTGAATGACTTGAATCCTGAATCAAATTCCTGTTGCTTCTGCTTAAACCTAGAATGAGAATATCTGCCTAGGTTGAGAGAGCATCCTTGATTGAAGGTAGGGAGTTGGTGACTTTAGTCGAGGAGCCAACTCATTATTCTGTACCGAATTCACTTCGGTAGTGGAGGTTTTCTTCGTAGGGCCTCAATCTGTTTACTCTGGTGGAGGTTAATCGCCCGCTAGAGACTCAGATTGAGAGGGTCTGAAGACCTTTAGTCGAGACTTCAGGCTGTTTAAGAACCTTCCGCAGTATAACTTTCATGGAAACTGAACTTGGTAAATTGTAATCCGGCTTAACTGCAGTCTAGGGGGAACCATATCCGGGTGACCTCTCTTAACCTGAAAACAACCGTTTACTTGCTTTGTTTGTTTGTTAATTTGGACCTGCACTAAAGTTTTACTGCTAGATAACAAGAATTCACCGAGTAGTCATCAAATCTAGGACCCGGGTTGACATTAAAACCCAAACCCGCTATACTACGCCTTAGGAAGTGGTTTCACTTGGCCATTTTCTAGGGTGACAGTAGGAGTGAGTCAAGTTTTTGGCGCCGTTGCCGGGGACTGCTAGGTTGTTGAAGAAAAGTGATTTCTGTTACTTTAGCACTTTCGTTTTCGCATTAACTGTTTGTTCTTTCCCACTTGTGCCTTCACGGGTTTGCTTGCTTGATTGTGTGCAGGTAGTGCATGACCCGTAGCCAATCGGGAGGTTTACTGCCGTTGAATCCAGAGATTGAACGCACCTCTCGCCAACTCAGGAGACAACAGCGAGCTCGACTGGCTACGGCGGAGCGCATAGACGGCCACTTGAGTAGCGAGTCCGAAGAAGAGTACGAGATGGAAGGAGATCACAATCCACCCCCGGGGAATCCTCTCCAGGTTCCCCCGGTGAATCAGCTCTTGGGAAATCACCCACCACCACCGGGTCCCACTTTGGAGTACTACTATACTCCATGGGTTGCTGACATCCGCCCTGTCATCCTCTATCCGCCCATTCCAGCGAACAATTTCGAGATCAAGCCATGCTGGATTCAACTCATTACATCCTCCGTCCAGTTTCATGGCTTGAAGGATGAGGAGGCAAGGGTGCACCTGTCCCTTTTCCTGCAGGTGACGAACGGGTTCAAGCTGAACGGTGTCCCTGATGATGCAATCCGCCTTCACCTCTTTCCCCATTCTCTGGCGGGGAATGCTAAGAGGTGGTTGGAGACCCAGCCCCCATTGTCCATCACCTCTTGGGACGATCTGGCTGACAAATTCGTGCACAGGTACTATCCGGCATCGAAGACTACAGAGATCCAGCGGGAGATCACCCACTTCCGCCAAGAGCCAGATGAGTCACTTCGTGATGAATGGGAGCGGTACATGAGATTTTTCTGGCAGTGTCCCTATCATGGCTTTAGTGATGCATTCACAGTGGGGAACTTCTACAGTGCTCTCTCTCCGAAAAGCCAGAGGGTGATCGAGTCTCTATGCCCAGGAGGGGACATTCTTACCAAGACTCCACCCGAACTGAACCAGATGATCAGTACATTGGCTGCCAGAGATCATTCCTGGGGGCAGAGCAGCAGAGGCAGACATTCCCGGGACCGTGGTGTGCACGCCATGGAAACCAGATCGGGGCTCGAGCAGCAGGTGGCTGAGTTAGTGCAGACATTGAAGCAGCCCAACAGTCTTATTCAGGGCAGAGGTTTGGGCGGACCTCCCGTAGCTCAATGTCAGTGGTGTGAGAGCTCGAATCATCTAGTGGAGGACTGTCAGGCTATGCGGGAGTCCTCTACTCCCCAAGAATAGGTGGACTTCATCGCCAATGCTCGGCGCCTTGACCCATATAGCAATACATACAATGAGGGGTGGCGCCAGCATCCCAACTTTGCCTGGAACAGTAACACCACTAAACCACCTGGTTTCCCAGCACCAGCGGGTGGTTTTCAGCAGAGGCATCCCTTTCAGGCTAGGCAGGGGCCCCCACCACAGCAGCAGCCCTACCAGCCTAGGCAGGGGCAGCCATTCCAGCAGCCCCAGCGTCAGTATGCCGAGCCAGCAGCAGCCCCAGCTCCAAATAACCAGATGTCGGAGCTGAAAAATATTTTAGCAGCATTCATGACTACCAGCCAGACGAATTTCGCCAGGATAGACCAGAGCATCGCCTCGCTGGAGGCAGGTCTGAGGAATCAAGGTGCTATACTGCAGGACCTCCAACATCAGATTGGAGGAATAGCCCGCCATAACAACACCAGGGCACCAGGCACTCTACCTGCCACTACCATCCCCAATCCACGGGAACCGCCCCAGCAGCTGGATGCCATTTTTACCAGGAGCGGTAAGACCATATCTGCTGATCCTGCCCCAGCCAGGCAGGAGGAACCGCTACCTGCTTCAGCACTTCCAGCCGACGATGCAGAAGTGTGGGTGGAGAAGGAAGCCCCTGCTCCCAAGCCACAACCAGTGGTTAAGGAGCATGTACCCCAGCTTCCCTTCCCCACTCGCCTACACAAAGACAAGCTGGAGACTGAGTTTGCTAAGTTTATGTCAATGTTGAAGCAGCTCAACATCAGCATACCGTTCGTGGAGGCACTGTCGAAGATGCCCAAGTACGCCAAGTTCATGAAAGACCTCCTCACCAACAAGAAGAAACTTGGGGATCTTTCGACAGTGATGCTCAGCGAGGAGTGTTCTGCTATCCTGCAGAACAAGCTGCCCAAAAAGCTCAAGGACCCAGGGAGTTTTACTATCCCTCTTACTATTGGCAACATGCATGTAGGCAAGTCCTTGGCGGACCTAGGCGCAAGCATAAATGTCATGCCATATAAGTTGTATAAAAAGCTAGACCTAGGTGAACTTACCCCTACTAGGATGAGCATTCAGCTAGCTAATCGTTCCATTGTGCATCCTAGGGGGATCGTAGAGGACCTGCTTGTTAATGTAGGTGCATTCACATATCATGTGGATTTTGTTATCCTTGATATACATGAGGTTGTGGATGTGCCTTTGATTCTAGGTAGACCATTTCTTGCCATCGCCAAGGCACTAATTGATGTGCATGATGGTAAACTGATCATGCGTGTTGGGAATAAACAGGCTACTTTCTCCGTGACTGAATTCGATCACTGTGCTATGATTGCTGTCACACCTGTGCATACCATTTCTGATCAGGTACACGAGTCTGTCGTGTATCCTTCTGCACCTCTCATTTTGCAGGAGCCTCCTATCATTCCTTCGGTGCCACTCCATCCAGTCTCGCCTCCGAACAAAAAGATCAAGGAGGAGTGGCGGCCGAAGCAGCAGGTTGCTAAGCCTGCACGGAAAAAGGGTGGAGAGCACTACGAGCTGGTTCCACCTCCTGCACCACGACCACCCTGGCCATCCGAGTACTCACTCGCCTGCATCTTGCCGGATGGCCAGGTCGAGCTGACCAATGCTGGTGGTCGCACCCGTCGGGTGCATGGCCACAACCTGAAGCTGTACCTCAAGAGCGACGTGGATTCGCTCTTGGAGGCACCTGTTCCTGCACCTCCCTGAGTATCCACCATTGGCGTCCAGCTAAAAGACGGTAAAGAAGCGCTTGTGGGGAGGCAACCCCACCACGGTTTGCATTTCTTTTTCCCCTTTGTTCTGAGTTTTTGTGTCGTCTTGAGTCAGTTGCATGTCTGTGGTGAAGTTCGGTCATCTGTTATGCCTCGATTTGGTGCTGTCGTGCAAGAGAGGTCGACAATTTGGGCGAATGAGTTTTTTGGCCGGAAGAGGGCAAATACCCGGTCGTGGGCCAAAATACCCGACCGGGTATTTTTGATTCACGGCCGGGGATTTTCCCAAGTTCAGACGCTGCGTTTCAAGAACCCCCGACCTTGACCCAAAAATACCCGGCCGGGTATTTTTGGCTCAAGGCTGGGGATTCCCTTACCTTGGCACGCCGCGTTTAGGAACCCCCGGTCGTGGAATCAAAAATACCCGACCTGGTATTTTTGAGCCCCGACCGGGGATTTTTGCTATTTATAGCAAACCTCCGGTCAGTTTCTCTCTCTACCCTCATTTTTCAAAATTTTCCCCTCTCCCTTCCTCTCAAATCCTCTCCCCTCTCTCTTCTAAGAGCCGCCGGCCGCCGCCCCCTCCGCCGTCGGCCGCCGCCACTGCGCCGCCGGCTGCCGCCCTTCCGCCGCCCCCGGTCGTTTTTCGGCAACTTTTCGGCGGTTTTCCGGCCATTTTCCGGCGAGCCTCCCGGGTCATTTGTGGCCTCTGTCTCGAGTCCCTAACCCGTTTTTTGTGCCTTAGCTACATTTCTCCTTGCGTTTTCAGGTGTGTTTCTTGTTAACTGCTCTTTCCTGGAAAATCGAACTGTAGATTGTAGGACCGAGAACTGTATTTGCATGCATGATTTAGAAAAGGGTGAGGGATGCTTTGTGGATGCATGGTTCTATTTATGGTGTGTGTGCTGCCCGTGCAATTAATGTGGTTGGTTCCGTGTTCTTTCCTTGATTCCGGTTGGGTTGCTTGCGATTCAACCGTCTGTGCTTACAACTGTTAGCCTAGGTGCTCCTTAAGTGTGGGGGAAGAGATGAACCCATGTTGTTGGTCCTGACAAGTCTTTTCTTGGCTCCACCTTTGGTTTGTTGATTTTGCAGGAGCATGTCGCTCGACCATCAGTTTGTGCAGGGCCTGAGCCAGCACCCAGAGTACGCGGACCAGTTCCGCGCGGTGACTCGGGGGAAATTGGAGCGCCACCACCATCTGGAGTGGGCAGTGTTCGAGCAGCTCCACTGCATGCAGGAGCTCACTGCCGCCATCAGCCATCGCGATTGGCGCACACTGCTGGCTATCGAGGAGCCCACGTACACTGAGTTGGTGTGGGAATTCTACACCACCTTCCAGTACAACAGCAAAGCGGCTCGGGACTCCTCTGCAGTGAGATTTAGGCTAGGTGGCTATCCCCGGGAGCTGACCATTGACGGGTTGGCCTCCGCCTTGGGGATCCAGTATCACCCATCTTCCCGCCACGTGATCGAGGTCCCGAATCCAACAGACTGGAACATGGATTTGTTCTACTCGCAGATTGCCCGGCGCACCTATGCGTTCGACTACTTTGACGCTGGCCAGACATACGTCTGCACCCTCAAGCCGCAGTGGCACATCCTGAACTTCCTCATCACCCGCTCCATTGTCCCCAACGTCACCGGCTCGCACAAGATTCCGAAGCGGGTGCTCTATGCCATGTTCTCGATGCGGGACCCGGATCACATGCTGCATTTGGGTTCCTTCGTGGCCACCACCTTCTCTCGCTGCCATGGGAAGCCTAACCATCTCTACTGTGGTCCCCTGATCACCCGTCTAGCGCACCATTTCAACATCAGCTTCCAGGGGCTCACAGATTCTTCTGCAAGGGGCGGCTCCACCCCCCTCAGCCGGGAAGTGCTCCACAATGCACTCCTCCTGGCCACTGATGGCACCCGCACCTGGGTGGATGGGCTTTCCCTGCCTCCTGATGAGGATGTGGATCTCGATGACGATGAGGAGGACGCTGACTATTCTGGCGCGGAGGAGGATGCGGATGATGATGATGATGATGGCGGGGCCATGGATGCCGATGAGCCGGAGCCCCCGCTCTCTCCACCAGGGGACCTTCGCCCACGACGGAGATCGGGGAGAGGTGAGTCCTCCTCCGGCCCTTCTGGTCTGTCGGCGGCTTCTGGCCTGTCGATGGACTTCTTCATGGAGCAGTTCCAGCAGATGGGGGCTCCAGTTCCAGCAGCTCGGTCTTCAGAACCAGCAGCTCATGGACCATCAGGTCCAGTTCTACCAGTAGTATTCAGCCCACCAGGCGAGTACCAGTCCAGGCTGACGGTTGTTGACGATCGCCTCGGCCGCTTGGAGACCCATATAGGAGTCACGGGTGCTCTCATCGAGCGGGAGATAGATCGAGGCCGCCGATTGATGGAGTATTCGGAGCACCTGCTCCAGGCTTGTCACCCACCGGAGGAGCACCACTAGACCACCCGGTGGGATCATTCCCCACCACCACCACCGGAGGATGGAGACGACGACCTCATGAACCAGATCGACTTCACCGGTCTAGGAGGCGGCTCCCAGTGACCTGTTTTGAGTGTGTTTGTTTTTGTCAGTGTGCAAACTGTCTTGTGTTGGTTGAGTTTCTTTCTTTTTATTTTGGATGTTGTACTATTGGGCTGACCATTAGACCTGACGTATTGTGTTTGAGCTCTTTGGTTTCCTTTAGCTGTGCTTGTCTTGACTGGTCCTCTCTCCAGTCCGCTCCACTCCGACTGGTCCGCTTCCAGTCTCCTGCAGTCCATGCATACCGGTAACATCGTTCCCCTTTTCCTTCCCTCTTCTCCATTGAGGGCAATGTCGATCTTAAGTGTGGGGGGATGTTTATCTTTTGACTGCGTTAGATCTGTTTGTGTGCTTGGAGCCTAGTCCACTGTCCAAATTTTTAAATTTGAGGGCTCCAAGTACGTGTTCCTTGCAATTGCCTGCTCAGTATGCTTTGAATTGATAGTCTATACAGTAATGTGCAACCTAGGGAGGTAGTGTAGCACTATGGAGGATGTTGATGCATTTAAGAAGTCTCCTTTCTTCTTCATATTGTGTTGGTTGATTGTGTGAATTAGTGATCTTAGGACTCTTGAATTGTGTGGTGATGTGGACTCTCTACCTGTCATGGACTCCTGTATCATGTTTTTGAAATAAAAGGTGCTCGAAAATGTGCTTTAACATAACGTCTCCCGTGCGAATAGGGCGAAAGTGTGTAAGAGGAGACGGGAATTCGTTCCCAATTTCCACCTACTACCTCCAGCCCCCTTACATGTCCTTCCCCCGCACGAGGCTCAAGACATACGCTCCTGGCATGGCCGGTAAGAGCCGGGCTCCCGCAAAACCTCTGCTAGGTGGGAGCCCTCATTTTCTGAAAAGCAGGTTGGGACCCTTGAAAAAAAAAACAAAAAAACAAGCAAAACAGAAAGAAAAAGGGTTCCAACCATCTTCAAGAAGAAAATAGAGCACCTTAAAAAGGTGATTCCATGATCTTTTGTTTTTGAGAGTCCATTCGTCCATGATTCATTTGTCCTCTGCTCACTATTTGCCATGATGCCGACTCGAGACTAGCATTCTCGCCGAAGAAGCTATGAGATGACTTGTGCGTCGGTTGACCTCGTAAGCTGCTAAATGATCTAGGAAATCCTCTACCTATGATCGGGGTTGTTGGTTGCTATAGAGGTCTGGAGAGTTGCATTGGTTTGAGTTAGGTTTGCTTGGGGACAAGCAAACGGTTAAGTGTGGGGGAGTTTGATAGACCAATAATTACACATGTTTTTACCCCTATTCTTGAGCCGTTTGAGAGGTTGACTCTCGTGTTTAAGCCGATTTCACGCAAGGTTGTGTGTTTATGTCATATTTCAGGACACGGCATTGGAATCGAGGCGAGGAAACGAGTTGTGGGTCGAAAGGAGCGAAGTTGGGTCAAAGTGTGCTGGAGGAGGAAAATACTCGGTCGTGGGCTCAAATACCCGACCGGGTATTTATTGTTTTGGCACCCGTGAGAAACAGAGGGGGGCCCGGTCGTGAAGCTTAAATCCCCAGTCGGGGATTATTGGACATGACCGGGGTTTTTTCCCTGAAGCAAAACGTGCGTTTCATTTATACCCGGTCGAGACCCAAAATACCCGACCGAGTATTTCGACCGGGTATCGCGACAGGCAGCAATTTTAAGGGAAAAGAAGGCTGAAAATCAAGGGATTCGAGTTTTTGAGAGATAGAGCAATTCCTAGAGAGAGAGCGACGAACAAGAGTTCCCATGTGCCATAGCTTGATCTTCATCACCATTGGAGCCCAGCTTGAGCTTGGAGAAGTGCCGATCAACGTCCAGAAGCAGACATCCATTCTTCACAGTATGATTTCCGCGTCTGAATCTGTTTTTGCTTCTTTCTCCATGGAGTAGTTCTCCCATTCATCTGGGTATGGAGAACCCTAGATTTGTATGTTAGGTCTGATTGTATGAACCCAAGTACAGATTTCATGAGTTGATTATATTCGATTGAGGCTTGAATGATTGAATGACTTGAATCCTGATCAAATTCCTGTTGTTTCTGCTTTAACCTAGAATGAGAATATCTGCCTAGGTTGAGAGAGCATCCTTGATTGAAGGTAGGGAGTTGGTGACTTTAGTCGAGGAGCCAACTCACTATTCTGTACCGAATTCACTTCGGTAGTGGAGGTTCTGTTCGTAGGGCCTCAATCTGTTTACTCCGGTGGAGGTTAGTCGCCCGCTAGAGACTCAGATTAAGAGGGTCTGAAGACCTTTAGTCGAAACTTCAGGCTGTTTAAGAACCTTCCGCAGTATAACTTTCATGGAAACTGAACTTGGTAAATTGTAATCCGGCTTAACTGCAGTCTAGGGGGAACCATATCCGGGTGACCTCTCTTAACCTGAAAACAACCGTTTACTTGCTTTGTTTGTTTGTTAATTTGGACCTGCACTAAAGTTTTACTGCTAGATAACAAGAATTCACCGAGTAGTCATCAAATCTAGGACCCGGGTTGACATTAAAACCCAAACCCGCTATACTACGCCTTAGGAAGTGGTTTCACTTGGCCATTTTCTAGGGTGACAGTAGGAGTGAGTCAGTTAGCTACCAATGCACTTACCTAGTTGAGAAGTGTGTTGTCTCCATATGTGTTACTAGCAATTTGACTATGAATATGTATTCATTTGTGTGGAATATTTGTTGGCTTCGGAAATGAGAATACTTCTTGGAAACTTTTGAATACTGGTTCGACAGGTTTGAATATCTGTTCAAAAGTATTTGAATACTTGTTCGACGCCTCTGAATACTTGTTCGACGCTTATGAATGCGTGTTCATTTGTGTAAAAAATAATTGGGATTACAGATGAGAATACTTGTTAGAAGCTTTTGAACACTGGTTCAACGTGTTTAAATACTTTTTCCACGCCTTTGAACACTTATCCAACGTTTTTGAATACTTGTTCGACACCTATTAATACATGTTCATTTGTGTGGAATATTTATTGGTCTCAGAAATGAGAATACTTGTAGCAAGCTTTTGAATACTGGCGCGGGGTCCTTACGTTTGAATAATTTGGCATGATGAGGGTTGTCAAAAATCCCTCACTGGAAACCCCATCCAAACTACCTCTATAGCTCAACAACGAGCGTGTTTTTGGTTCATCGGTAGACATAGAAGCGGTCAACAACCGTACAAACGACAAAACTCTACGCCAAAGTTGTCAAAATAGATTAAGCCATCAAGCCGGTTTGACAAGTGATTTAAAGTTTAATGGTCGTATCGGGTTCAACAAGTTCACATAGATTTTAACATAATATGTGAGAAACCTCTAATATCAAATATTTTAAAACAATCTCACTAATCTACATTCAAATATTAACAAATTATTTCTTCAAAAGAAATATATGTTACAAAATTATCAATCCCCATATTCAAATTTGGTTTGGACTGCTTAGACCACTCGATTTAACTTGATTTGATTTTTTTTTCTAGCACCGTCCAACCAAAATGTATTTCAAGACGAGTTCAAATCACACCGGATTGAAACGGCCAGCCAGTGATACAGCAACCTTACTCTACACTAAAAGTTTTTGAACTATGATAATCAATCCGCGAAGCTAACTTTATTTTTTACCAACTCCTCTATCTCAATTAATGTATTCCCTAAAAAAAAAGTGCAGCCAATTAAATCGAACAATTGCAATTAACAATGAGTAGACTTTGCCAATGTAAATGGTTGGCTTGAGTCTGTCTAAATAAACAATTAGACAAAATATATTACTACATCACGGATGATGATTGATGACCCCAAGTACAATGTCAAACCTCTTCTTGTCGTCAGAAACTTTGAAGATATTCTAGATTGGCAACATGAATACTTAAAACCCTTACTTTAGCAAGGTTTATCCAATGTCAAATTCTATTAAAACAATGAAGACCGACGAGGATGAGTGGAAATTGAGGTGGTCAAGACCTTGAGAGCAAAGACGAGGGCTATGGAAGACGAGTGCGATGGAAGGAAAAGGTAACAATGGCAACATGTAGAGGGATTAGGACACACATTGTCTGTGGAGACGACAAAGAAGACTAGATAGAAAGATAGAAAAGAACGATGGAACGAAAAGAAAGACGAGAAGAGCAAAAACCATCGAGAGATCATAGACAATCGGGGTATGAGGAGGGAAGACGACGACGACTGGGAGAGGAGTTGGGAAGATAGTGGTGATAGAAGAGATCGGAGATGAAGAGGGAAGAGAAATACTAATTTTCTAGGTATGTAAGAGAGGGGATGGAGAAATTTTAAATTCAATGTATCTATTATTATTTTTCTAAAACATTTAACAAGCTCTTCAATACTCCATACCATCAGATTTGGTTTGAAAATAATAGATGGTGATTAGATTAGTAAAGGCTGTCTCTATTCTTACAATAGATTAGCAATTTCATACATGAGTCTCATTACCATATCAACAATTTTAGTAATAACTATATTATTATGAAATTCAAGTAATCTACATGCCTAATTCTTTAGCAATCCTATTATTGAGACCCACTCGCATAAATAATTCCTCATTTATGAAAAACTAAACTATAAAGACAAAAGAAATTTCATGTGGCATTGTAAGTGAAATCGCTAATTTAGCAATTTTCTTAAGTTAGCAACTACTCCACATTGATACGATTGAACTAGCAATTGCCAAACACATTAAACCTACACTTTAGCAAATGCCAATAAAAGGCGACGGAGATGATCCTGGTAAGATATCTAGCCCACGATTAATCAAACTTTTACCCATGCTTGAGTTTTAGAATGAAATAAATTAATGGTTCAACAGGATGCAAATTTAAACTAGTTAGTTATAACCACTTATCACTCCAAAAAAAAAAGTTATAACCACTAATGTAAAGCGACTTAAAATGATATTAATTTTTTGTCCCGCGCTTCACAGCGGTAAGAAACCAATTATATTTAAAACTTCATTCATTTAATTATTTATTTGAAACCAAATAATTCAAAAAATTAGGATGCCTCCATTAATTTTATGAAATAATTATATTTCTGTAAGCTTTATGTCATGTCTTTATATTTAGGAAAGACTATGTAATACGTTTGTTTAATTGATACATACAAAAATAATTATCTCATCATAATTTTTACGCAATATATTTGTAATTTATATATTGCATTTATGTAATTGTAATAGAACGTAGTTACATAAATATTTCATAATACATGATATAATAATATAAGATTTATGTAGTATAATTTTTTTTAATAAGAAATAACTATCCTTCTGTAAGCTTTATATAATATATTTATAATTTACCTAACGATTATAAAATATCTTAAAACCAGAAAGAGTATTTGCTTCGAAACATACAATCGATGCCCACCTGCACGATGAACCAGAATGGACAAAAGTCAAAACCAAAAAAACAAAGGAAGAAAATGAAGGCCATCTTCCCAGCACGACGAGACGACTAAACTACTGGACTCTGGTGCGTTTTTTCTTGCTTTTTTTGTTTATTAAAACTTTCCGTTTTTGGGAACTATTGCCGGCTCGCCTGCTGCTGCTAGCTTGTGCGTTTTCTGTTTGGCATCTGATTCCCATTTTCCCTTCCCTTCCCTTCCGTAGTTTCTGGTCGTCGTTTCTGTGTGCGAACACAGTTGTCTAGGCAATAAACCTCCACAACCCATGTTTCCCTGAAACGCTCCTTTCTCTATCCCTCTCTAGATCCATCTCGCTTTGAAACCCCTTCCAGGCAATGGCGATTCGCAGAGAGAAACCCCAGTCGTTTCGCGGATCTCCCCTCCTCATAGCCATTGTCGTCGGAATTCTTCTCGGCTGCGTTTTCGCCGTCTTGTATCCTCACGGCTTCTTCAGCTCCTATCCGGCCATTGCGACGGCTCGTCGAACTGCCGAATCAGATCTCCAGGTTCGCAACTCAGTCTCTGCCCTAATTCAGCTCCGCTTTCACTGTTGCTCTGGTTTCCCCCTCAGTGGCGCTCTGAAATTCGGGGTCTTTCTGTTCTAATTAGCGTCTTCTGCTGTGGAGTTGACTTTTGTTTCTTCTTTGAGCTCTGAATCCATCCATGGTGGTCTGGTTGATAGTTTAGGAGCTGGAATCTTTATGGTGAAGTTAAAAGTCTCTATGATTGTTTGCATGCGAGTGGGTTTATGCTTGACAATTGATTTCTCTCTGAAGTCTGATTAATGTAAGAGTAAAGATTTCAAAAGAATCAACAGATTCATTTTCCGTGGTTTCATGCTGTGATGGTAAGTTAGTTAGGATGGCCAAGTTGGGAAATTTTGAAAAATCTTTCCAATTTCAGGCTGCGTCCTCCTGCGAATCACCAGAAAGAATTCGAGTGCTGAAATCAGACATAGTGTCTCTAACAGAGAGCAACGCGCTATTGAAGAAACAAGCCAGGGAGCTCAACGAGAAGCTGCAGATGGCTGAACAAGAAAAAGATCATGCACAGAAGCAAGTTCTGGTGTTAGGCAAACAGCAGAAAGCCGGGCCTTTTGGCACTGTCAAGAGCTTAAGAACCAACCCGGCAGTGCTCCCAGACGAATCTGTCAATCCTCGGCTGTCAAAACTCTTGAAGGAAATCGCTGTGCAGAACGAGGTCGTTGTTGCCCTAGCAAATTCGAACGTGAAAGAAATGCTAGAAGTTTGGTTCACCAACATCAAAAGGGTCGGGATACCAAACTACCTTGTTGTAGCACTCGACGATCATATAGTTGATTTCTGCAAATCGAATGGGGTCCCGGTGTACAAAAGAGATCCAGATGAAGGTGTCGACTCGATAGCAAGGACTGGGGGCAACCATGCAGTCTCTGGGTTGAAATTCCGAGTTTTAAGGGAGTTTCTCCAGCTGGGGTACAGCGTCCTGCTCTCGGATATCGACATTGTCTTTCTCCAGAACCCATTCCATCACCTGTACCGAGACTGTGACGTGGAGTCCATGACTGACGGCCATGACAACATGACAGCATACGGTTTCAACGATGTGTTCGATGAGCCTGCCATGGGGTGGGCTCGATATGCTCACACGATGAGGATATGGGTTTACAACTCAGGGTTCTTTTACATCAGGCCGACTCTGCCTGCAATCGAGCTGTTGGATAGAGTTGCAGGAAGGTTATCTCGTGAGCCAAATTCGTGGGACCAAGCTGTTTTTAACGAGGAGCTCTACTTCCCGTCTCACCCTGGTTACGAAGGGCTTCATGCTGCAAGGAGAACAATGGATTATTATATGTTCATGAACAGCAAGGTGCTTTTCAAGACTGTGAGGAAAGATGCCAAGTTGAAAAAGCTGAAGCCAGTTATAGTTCACCTGAATTATCACCCAGATAAGTTTCCTAGAATGAAAGCTGTTGTAGAGTACTACGTTAACGGGAAGCAAGATGCTTTGGAGCCCTTCCCCGATGGTTCTGACTGGTAGGCAGAAATGTCAGAAAGTAAGCAGAGAAGTTTCTTCCATAAGGTTTTGTTCTAGCTTTCACTTGTACTATTCCACAAAATAGGGTGTAGATTAAGTTTGATATTTGCTTCTTATGTTGTTCAGGTGATGAATTCCATTTATCCTTTCCGCATTCTGTAATTTTTGGTCAAGTTTCATACTGGAAAGATCACATCTTTGTTAATGACTTCCCGTGTTTGGTTTTGGTTTATAACGAGATGAAGATTCCAAAATGATCGAAATGTGAAAGAGAACTACCGGTTGATAGCTCTAGATAAGATCAGACTGTAGAATTCTGCAAGTGAAACTGTGTACCTGTGCACAAGAATTGGGTTGGAGGCCAGAAGGCGTAAACTGGTAAATCTGCTGAAATGCAAGCTCCAGAACTCGTTTGATCATCTCCACTGTGATTCTGACGTGGAATCCTCATTGGACGGCCACAACTAGAAAACAGCCTTGGGGATCGGTTTCGCTTCTCGCATTTGATCACGATCTGGGTTTATGACTCCAGGTTCTTTCATACGAGGCAGACTGTCCCCCTGCAAAGCTCATGGATCTGGAACCCTTCTCAAATGAAGCAGAGTACTCCAGTTGTGTGATCTTTAAACACTTCCTCAGTCCTAACTATCAACCTGGTAATACTAACAGTTCTTTTGTCAGCCAAAAGAAGTTCCCGCCCAACTTTTCACCATTGGAGAAAAGCTTTCGTCTTTGCATAGGTTTTTTTTGAAAAGTTGCCATCTTTCTTAAACAAGTTATGGACCCAGAATCCCATCTCCTCTGTCTGCTGCCTGTCTCTGTTTTCCCCTCCCAAACGTATGGTTTTATGGCGCCCATTAAATGAGACCCGCCAAATTCATGTGACTGGCCTTGCCTTCACTGAACAGCAAAATCCGATTAGGTTTTTGCCTAGTTTATGTCCTCTAGTGCCCAATTTCCGCGGCAATTGACAGACTGATGGAAAAGTTTGGAAGAAACTGAGCCCCAAACTCTGGATTAATGGCTACCAAGAGAAAAGATTAGCCGTTTTTTGGGATCACCAAATTTTTCCAGTTCACGACAAAGATTAATGGCCTACCCATCTTCCCTCCTTGGCATGTTCTGCTGCCTCTCCAGTCTCCACCTTATCCCACCACTCTGTATTTCCGCTTTCACAGATCTTTCATGTCGCTATTTATTCTTCCTCCACCACCACAAAAATCAGGTTCGACATTCTGACAAAAATCCTCTGCCGAAGTCAAGTCTTCTTCTTTCTGCTATCTGGGTTTTGTATCAGGTGAATCGGAGAAGTCATGCTGAAGAACATCCAGAGAGATAGTAGCGTTCTAGTGAGCTACAATCCTCCTCCAAAGAGCCCCTGCAGAAACCCTAATTCGGACCTCGACTTCAACGACGTCTTCGGCGGTCCACCGCGCAGGGCGTCGCTGCAGAATGTCCGGCACAGTTTCGGCGAGGAGCCGTCTGGAGACGACCCGGAAACGGCGCCGTTGCGGACGAGGTGGTCCGGGCTGTACGAGAAGCCGGTTTTCGGAGAACACGAAGGAGCGGCGAAGAACAGAGGAGGAAGGGGTCACAACGGAGATTTCTTCGATGACATATTTGGCGGGAGCGAGTCGTTGAGTTCTTCTCCGAGGAGGCATGTCACCGGATCTCCGGCCGGATCCAGGGTTTTGAGCCCGGCCCGACCGCTCCCGCCGAGATCCGACCCGATTGGAAGTTCAAGTTCCTCACTTCCTGCCCCGTTCAGGTCTTTACATTTCCTTCTATAGGTTGCTCATTTGTATGTTTTCAATTACGAAAATATCATCGTGTAGATCAACAACTGAAAACGCGTCGGTGGATATCGATCTATACATGTGTCTACCGTTCTTGCTTCTATTCGAATTTTTATAATTACTAATTACTATTATCACAGATATTCTCGTAACTATGGTAGATCTGTCTTTAGGTTATAGCAACCTATGTAACATGAACTTCCATTGGAAATAGTCTAAAGAATTTTAAATTTGACAGCATTTATTTATAGTGTACAAGAAGAACAGTAATATAATAATGCATTTTCCAATCCTTACAGTCTACCTTCGAAGCTAATGAAACCGACGACGGATCTGCCTACATTTGGTTCGAGCCCTCGCAGCTCCCTGCTGAAGGCCAAGGAAGTTGCTTCGAATGGCGGCATGATCAGCAACTACTCATTTTCTCCACTATCAAGATCCTCAAGCAAGCCAGATTTGGTGGTGATGGAGGAGTTCAAAGACAATATCCGTAGCCAGGGTTCTCTCTCCCGCCAATTCTCCATCAACAGTCGCGACGACTTGTCAAGCATGGACAAAGAACAAGGTGAAGAACAATACAGAGAAGGCACTTCAGAGGACAAAAGCAAAGGAGGCAACCGTGGCCATAGCTACGGCCATTTCCACTTCTCAATCTACAAATGGGCAAGCCAAGGAGCTCCTCCCATTTCTATGCCTCTGAGGTCAGCAAACAGTTCGAGATCGAAAGACAAGTTGGTATTTAGTTCACCAGCAAGTGAAGCTTCTGCTGAATTAGAAACACAATTTAAACCAGAGTTGAAACCATTGCGTTCTATGCTCTTAGACAGTGATTCTGAACAAGGTAAAAAAAAGGGCTGGTTCTGTTTTGTGGGATCCGAACCATTCGTTGTTTCGTAGCGAAAAGATTGGTTCTTTATAATGTTGTTGTTGTGGTTCAGGAACTTTGGAAGGAGATAGTGAAAAGGATTTGTTGAGAGAGAGCAAAGTGAAGAGTAGTAGTAGCAAGAAGAAGGCATCTTCTGAAGCATTTGATGTCAGCCAGGGGAAAGTGGAAGTGCAAAAGGGTGATAGTAGGTTGCAGGAAATCCATGAAAGGAGTAATAAAACAAAGGGGAAGAAGGTGAATGCTTTTGTGAAGATTTTTAATCAAGAGGTGAAGAAACCCGATGTGATGAAGGGTGTTAAAACACAGAAGAAGCCTGAGAAGAAGAAAGAGAGCAGAGATTCCAGGACACCGGACGATGATGGAACCTCTAAAACAACTAGAAGTAATGAAGAGGAAATCAACGTGGTTCCTGATAAGAACAGCAAGGGAATTCATCTGAAGGAAGCATCATATAATGTTCAGGTGATTTTTTCTTTTTTTCGTCGATAGATAAACCAAACCAAAAGCAGAACGATGAGGTGAAGACTTGAATTCCTGAAACTCTCCATCTCTCGGTTTGAATCTTTTTTCTTTCTTTCAGGTTGATGAGTATCAGAAGCAGACAGATGAGAAAATACCTGTTGTAGAAAGGAGTTACAGTTACAGGTCTTCTGAAACTGAGCATATATCAGCAGCATCAGGTGGAAGTCAGTTGGATTTCTATATGCCTTTGTTTATTATTATCACTGCAGTAAAGGAAGTGATTCCCAGATTCTTCGCTGAGATCTTGATAATCTTTTGACAGTCCCTGATGCTTCAGAAGAAGCATCTGTTGGAGACCCAGATGAACCATTCCAGGTGAGGGTTATCTACACAACTGGTTTTTGGGATTTTTGTTCAAGTACATGTTGATCTCAAAATGAATTTTCAAAATTTACCATGTTCTGATTCATCATCCACTCTTATGTGACAGGTCAGAGAATTACCAGACCAGATGGAGGAAGATGAACCCATTCCAACAACTGACAGTAACTCTGAACATCTCCAGGTAAAAGTTAAAACACTTTAATTTCCCAGAAGTGCAAGTTCCTTCACCAGGACAAAATAAGTAATCTGGACAGTACATTTCTTCAGGTGAATGATGCCAAGATACGAAAATGGTGCCAAGGGAAGGATGGAAACATACGATCCCTGCTCTCAACTCTACAATATGTAAGTCGTTTGGCCATTCTTTTCTTTCCTTGCACTTCAAACTAAGATTGCCAGGGCGTTTAACTCGCTCCTGAAATGCAGGTTCTTTGGCCGGGGAGCGGGTGGAAGCCGGTGCCTTTGATGGACATAATCGAAGGGAATGCAGTGAAAAGATCGTACCAAAGAGCCTTACTCTGTCTCCACCCAGATAAGCTTCAACAGAAAGGTGCCACTCCAGAACAGAAGTACATTGCTGAGAAGGTTTTCGATATTTTGCAGGAAGCCTGGATACATTTCAATTCTCTCGGTTCGATTGTGTGACCGACTGGTTGAACCGACCGAGCAGTCTTCACTTTTGTGCGTTGGTGTAGATTTGATTTTTTTTTTTTATGATATCATCCTTCAACTGTATAGATATTGAAATCATATGAACATTTTAAAAAGTGGACATAAATAATGTTTGTGGGGAAATTCGTGACCCTGTGAAGGGTGTGCAACCGTTGGGCTGATTTTGATCGTATCAAACTCTGGAGAACCATATGATTCATTAGAAAATAAACCACCAATGACCCAAATGTTGGCTATCAGCATGTTATGGAGTCATTCTTTTCTTTAACTTTTTCTATGTGTTTTTTCCTTCTCTTTTTCTGTTTTTACTGTGGGCTTGAAACTTTGAAAATTGATGTGCCTAAAAAGCATATAAAGCTAATAACCATAGGAAAGTACAGATTTGGTTCCCAAAGAAGAGATCTTCCACGCTCCAAAATTTGGACTTTTGGTAACTGGAGAGTGGGGGAGTGTGGGAATATCGAACAGTGCCCTCCAAGCCCTTTTGTAATGATGAAAAAGTTTGAATCTTGAATAGCTTAGATTTTTTTTTTTAATGGTGACAACTTAAATTAAAAAAAGGAAAAGATAAGTTCGAAACAAGAAGGAGTAATGTTTATTTTTTATTTTTTTATATTATTCAAATTTATAAAAATGTTATTAATTAGCCAAATCTTTCGTAATGCATCAAAATATTAGTCATTTTTATGTTATCATTAATAATTTTATAACTATTTTCTTAATTAAAATCCTAAAATTTTCGAATGTTGACCTTCATGTGTCTCTTCCAAATCATTATCAAATTGCCAAGTCAATATTACTGTTGGGGGAATTTAGGAAGCCCAAACGAGGAGCCCAAAGGGCCGAGAAGGACCAAGGATATGGGCCTGCCAAGAGAAAGCCCATACAAAGGGGGCCCTGAGGCGCGGACCGAGGCGTGGGACCCAGGTCTGACGAAAGGCGCATGACGACAAAAGGGGGGCAACGGCCGAGTAGGTACGGAGGGAACAGAAAGTGGGCCCATGCGCCTCAGCGCCAAGGCTATGTGTCAGAATGTTGGGGCGCATGGCTGGGACAAAGTACAGTGCATTAAATAGGATGATGACGCAGGGCGGATTTGGGGGGCACTGGTCGACCCCGCTGAGAGTATAAATAGTGAAGTGGGTGGAGCTCATTTACTCAGGTTGGATCCTCTCTCTACACTCGTATTTCACTTCTCTCTCTAGAAAGGTCCTACTGACTTGGGCGTCGGAGTGCTAACGAGCCCTTTACAAAGGGGCTCAGAGGGCGGCTGTGCGTACAGGAGCAGGTTACCCTAGCGAGATCGGGTGGGAGTCGAGAAGTAAGGGAGAATCCTCGTGGGGCGCAGGTTACGTGGCACAAACAATTGGCGCGCCAGATAGGAGAGTATAGCCCGAGAAGCACAAGACATGGAAGAAGCTGTCGAAAGAGGAGGCGAGGGGAACCGCGCTCCAAACGAGGCGACCTCGGGAGGAGCGCCCCGCGTGTCCGAAGAGGCGCAAGAAGGGGAGGTCGAGGTGCAAGAAACAGCGCAGTCGGAGGGCGTCACGCTGACCAAGGAACATCTTATCAGCATCATAGAAGAGCAAGCCCAGGCGCTCGAAGCGCTAAGGAGGGAAGTGGAGGATCTGAAGAAAGGAGGAGACGTCGCGCCTCCCCTCGGCGGAAGGAAGAGGGAAAGAGATGAAGAGGAGGAAGGAATGTCCAGTGCGGTGAGGCGCACGGAGGATGGGGGACCCTTGGCCCGACATGGGGCGTCGGAACTTGAGGAGCGCCACGAATGGGCGCCGAAGCGCCTGGGGCGCACTTGGGGGGTGAGACAGCCCCTGTCCCGAGGCATCTTAGCCGAGCAGGCCAACTCGGTCATCCCGGCCCTCCCCAGTTACGACGGGACGGCGGACCCGGAGGACCATCTGAACAATTATTTCACCAAGATGCAGCTGTACAACAGCTCGGACGCCACGCTGTGCCGCACCTTCCCGTCAACTTTCGTCGGCGTGGTGCTGGACTGGTACCACCAGATCGACGAGGGGAGGATCGACAGTTTCGAGCAATTCGCCGCCATGTTTCTTTCGAAGTTCGCCAGCTGGAAGCGCAGGAGCTTAATGATTAGCGCGTTGTTTAAGGTCAGGCAGCGCAAGGGAGAGGCGCTCCGGGACTTCTACGAGAGGTGGATGTCGGTCGCGATGGCCGTCAAGGACGTGAAGCCGCCCGTCCTGGGATGTTGCTTGGATGAGTGTACCAACAGCGAAGAGCTGTGCCGGGCGCTGTCAAAGCGCGACGTGGTGTCGACGGAGGACTTGGATCGCCGGGTGCAGAAGGTCATAATGTTGGAAGAGACATTGGCCGCAAGGAGGCTGGAACGGAGGGAAGTGCGCCCCGAAAAGGGGGAAGGGTCCAGGGCTCCACGCCCTTCCTACGCCCCAGCGGCGATACAGAATTACCCCCAGAGCGCTAGGCGTCCAGAACCGCCACGCTTCCCTCCCCGGAGTACGGCAAACTTTACCGAGCTCAATGACTCTTTGAAGAACGTACTGCAGTACGCGAGGGACAAGGGGTATCACCTGCGCTGGCCAGGCCCAATGCGGGGGCGCCCGAATGAGCAGAACTTGGATAGGTTCTGTGAATTCCACCGCGAGAGGGGGCACCATACGGCTGATTGCTATCAACTCAAATCAGAGATACAAGGGCTGGTGGATAGGGGGATGCTGAACGAATTCATAAAAAAGGGAGAGGAAAAGGCGCAACGCACGTTCGTGGCACAGGAAGAAAGGGTGGGCATGCCGAAGGAAGGCGAAGGTGGCGGAGGAGGAGAGCGCGCCCGAGAGGTAGCGCCGAGGGGAAGCGAGGAGCTGCCGCCCCCCCCCCCCCCCCCCCCCCCCCCCCCCTTTGAAGTCGAACCCGAGGCTAATCCTGCCCGAGTGAGGCTGACCATTGAAGCTATCTCTAGCACGATCGATTTGAGGCAGAAGTTGGAGGAGGGAAGGCGGCTGAAGTCAGCCACAGCAAGCGCACGTGCTGCAGTGCAAATCCGCTTTAATGAGGCGCCGGAGGAGGCATGTCGGGTCCCGTCCGTGGAAGCATTAGAGATCAGGGGGATAGTGGCAGGGTGCGAAGTAAAAAGGATGTTGGTGGACACGGGAAGCTCCATGGATGTGTTGTTCCGAGCGACCTTTGAGAAGATGCAGTTATCACCAAGCATCGTGAGGCCGGCCGACACGGTCTTGGTTGGGTTTACGGGGGTACCCGCGCGGGTAATTGGGCGCGTGAGCCTGCCCGTAACGCTGGGGGAAGAGGAACACCGGGTTACGCACACTGTCGACTTTGGCATCGTGGACTGTCCCTCCAACTATAACGCCATATTGGGGCGCCCACTACTAGCCCTCTTCAACGGGGTCGCGTCGTCATGCCACCAGGTCCTGAAGTTCGTCACCCCAGAGGGGGTAGGGGTGTCGAGGGGCGAGGCGTCGCAGGAGGCCCGCCTTGTCAAGAGGAAGCGAATGTACAACATAGACGTGCGGCCAGAAGACCTACCGAGAGCGGAGGCGGCGGATGCTGAGATCCAAGTGCCACTGGATGACGGGCGGCCGGAAAGGTGCGTGCGGATATCGGCTCATACAAGCGGGGAGGCCGTAGAATCACTGGTAGAATTGCTGAAGGAGTTCGCCGATCTGTTCGCCTGGAGTGCCCGCGAGATGCCGGGGGTAAGCCCGGAGGTGGCGGTACACCGCTTGTCGGTGGAGAAGGGTGTTCGCCCTGTGCAGCAGAAAAGGAGGCCACTATCTGAAGAGAAAGAAGAAGCGTTGCGTCGAAAGGCAACGAAGCTGCTTGAAGCCGGGTTCGTGGAGGAGGCCAAATATACGACGTGGTTGTCTAACATGGTGCTGGTCCCGAAGGCGCTTGGTGATTGGAGGATGTGCGTCGACTACACGAGCCTGAACCGAGCATGCCCATCGGACGCATACCCGATGCCACGCATCGACCAGCTGGTAGATGCGACCGCCTATCACGAGGCGCTGAGCTTCTTGGATATGTTTTCTGGCTACCACCAAATCCTAATGTGTGAAGAGGACCGAGAGAAGACGGCGTTCATGACCTCTTTTGGTAACTTTCGCTACAAGGTCATGTCCTTCGGGTTGAAGAACGCGGGGGCAACCTACCAGCGCATGGTCAACACCGTGTTTCAAAAGCAAATCGGGAGGAACGTGGAAGCGTACGTGGACGACCTGGTGGTCAAAAGTAAGAGGAAGGAGGATCACCTAAGGGACCTCCGGGAAACATTCGAAACCATGCGCTCCCATTCCCTACGCCTTAACCCCCTCAAGTGCGTTTTCGGAGCGGAGGCAGGTAAGTTCTTGGGTTTCATGATAACGAAAAGGGGGTTCGAAGCTAACCCGAAACAGGTTGAGGCGATCAGACGCCTCGAGCCGCCGAGGACGCCACGGGAGGTGCAGATCTTGAATGGGCGTCTTGCAGCGCTAGGACGGTTCATTCCTCGGTCGGCCGATAAGGGCGCTCCATTCTTTAAGGTTTTGAAGAAAGCTGCGCGCTTTAGGTGGACTGAGGAGTGTGATGAGGCCTTTGAAGGGTTAAAGAGCCTCCTGGTTTCACCCACGGTTATGACGGCGCCCCGAACGGGCGAGGTATTGTACCTATACATCGCGGTTTCGCGGACGGCGGTCAGCGCGGTGCTGGTCTCAAGGGCGGCTGCTGATGGGGAAGAGCGTCCGGTATACTATGTAAGCAAGGTGATGACTGGTCCGGAGACGCGCTACGCGCCCATAGAGAAGGCAGCTTTGGCCGTGGTCGCTGCGGCAGAAAAGCTGCGCCCATATTTCCAAGCGCACACGGTGGTGGTGCTCACTAACCTACCGTTGAAAAGCACTCTGGGGTCCATGGACGTGGCGGGGCGCATGGTGAAGTGGGCAGTGCAATTGAGCGAGTATGATGTTAAGTACGCACCCCGCCCGGCGATCAAGGCACAAGTGCTGGCGGATTTCGCCGCAGAAGGCGTGGTATGCAAGGAGGAAGGAAAGGGCGAAAGTTGGCAAGTGTACGTGGACGGGGCGGCCAGCCGAGTTGGAGCGGGCGCTGGGATAGTGGTGATCAACCCCCTGGGTGCCATGTATGAGCTGGCGCTCCGATTCGCGTCCCTGAAAACCAACAATGCGGCGGAATACGAGGCTGTGATAGCGGGGTTAAGCGCAGCACGAGAACTGGGGGCACGGAGGGTTCAGGTCCACTCCGACTCCGCCCTGGTGATAAACCAGCTAAATGGTGTGTTTGAGGTAAAGGAAGAGGCATTGGGCGTGCACCTCAAGAGGATTGAGGAAATGCGCTCCTGGTTCGAGCAGGTGGACTTCACACATA